TATTCCACTACTTTCCTCATGTTCTTGGAGAAATACAATATAATCATCCGGAATAGCATTTCTCCTTTCTCTCGTGGATCTCCTTAATGGCACTGGTTCTTGAGTTTATTCTTCTGGAATAGGGAGTTGTTCAACATTATCATCTTGAGGTTCCGGATTTACTTCTTGAGCAACATGTATAGGAACCTGAATATTGTCAAAAGTAACTGTATGGATTGGATCTGAAGCCAATTCCTCCTCAAAACTAATGTTTCTAATCTTATTTCTCCCCCAAACTCAACATCCTCAAAGAATGTTGCTGTTCCCGTCTCAAAAATATTCCTTAGTGTGGGATCATAAAACTTATAGCCCCTAGAGCGTTCAGAATACCCAATAAAATAGCTGCTAACTGTTTTGGAGTCCAATTTCTTTTCATTTGGCTTATAAGGCCTTGCCTCAGCTGGACATCCCCAAATATGTAAATGCTTTAAACTGGGCTTTCGACCAGTCCAAAGCTCATAAGGTGTTTTAGCAACTGCTTTATTTGGTACTCTATTCAGAATGTAAGCTGCTGCCTTTAGTGCTTCTTTCCAGAGAGACTCTGGTAAAGAAGAATGAGCAATCATACTTCTTACCATATCCTTAAGACTCCTGTTTCGTCTTTCAGCTACACTATTCATGCTAGGTGAACCCGGCATGGTGTACTGTGGGACAATACCGTATTCCTCTAGGTATCTAGCAAATGGTCCTGAACGTTGTTCACCTGAACCATCATATCTGCCGTAGTACTCACCACCACGATCAGATCTAACTGTTTTAATTCTTTTGTTGAGTTGATTCTCAACTTCAGCTTTAAAAACTTTGAACATGTCCAGAGACTCAGATTTCTCATGAATGAGATATATGTACCCATAACGTGAGTAATCATCTACGAATGATATAAAATATTGTTGACCATTCTAAGATGCCGTAGGGAATGGGCCACAAATATCAGTATGTATCAATTCTAAGACATTCGAAGATCTATTGGCACTTAATCTCTTTACTTTGGTCTGTTTTCCCTTAATGCATTCAATACATACGTTAAAATCTGAAAAATCAAGGGAATCCAAAATACCATCAGACACAAGACGCTCAACTCTACCTTTTGAGATATGACCCAAGCGCTTATGCCATAATGTCGCTGAATTTTCCTTATTTAATTTACGCTTAGTACCACGTGATTCCACATGCAAGGATTCATTATAAGAAGCAATTGTATCAAGCAAATATAGGTTGTCACAAGTACTCAAGTAACCAGTTCCTACAATAATTGAATTAAAAGATAAACTGAATTGATTGTTTCCAAATGAAAAAGAGTAACCTGATTTGTCCAATACAGAAACTGAAATCAAATTCCGTCTAAAAGACGGTACTACAAAAGTATCTTTTAAATCCAAATATGAACCAGTTTTTAACAGCAACTTAAAGTGCCCAATTGCTTCCACATCTACTGACTGACCATCGCCCACAAAGATGTATCTTTCACCATCACTTGGCTTCCGGTAGCTCAGGCAGCCCCTTCTTAGCATGCCAGGCGTGATATTTGGTACAATCCTTCTTTATATGTCCAGACTTATTACAGAAGAAACAACCTTGACCATCCTTATGTTGTTTCTTCTGAACAGGACCCTTAGCAGCTTCATTATCATTCTTTCTTTTCTTGCCCTTATCCTTAGAGGCATAGGCCAAATGAGCACTTTCAGTCTTATCTTGCTTCAACCTGTCTTCTTCTTGCACACAGTATGAAATGAGCTCATTTAGAGTCCATTTCTCCTTTTGACAGTTATAACTGACCTTAAACTGATTGAATTGTGCAGGAAGAGACAACAGAACCAGATGTACCAATAACTCATCACAAAGATCGAGTTTAAGTACCTTAAGCTTTGAAGCAATATGAGACATTTCCATAATGTACTCCCTGATATTTCCTTTGGCCTTATACTTCATTGAAATCAAGCGAGCTAAAAATGTGCTTGTTTCTACCTTATCGTTTTTCGCAAAACGTTTCTCAATTTCGGCAAGGAAATCTTTAGCCTTAGTAATCCCTTCGGATTCTATGCCCCTGAAGGCTTCCGGAATGCCGCGCTTAATGATCATTAGACTCATGCAATTTGAACGCTCCCATTTCTCATACTCCTTCTTTGCATCAGGAGTGCTATCCGCATTGAGAGGTTGGAGTTGTTCAGTTCTTAATGCAAAGTCTAAATCCATGCAGCCAAGAACAATTAAAATGTTCTCTTTCCAAACCTTGAAATTAGTCCCATTGAGCATGAGAATTGAGTTGATGTTAGCAGAAATTGTTGCAGCAGACCAAACCTTGAAATTAGTCCCATTGAGCATGAGAATTGAGTTGATGTTAGCAGAAATTGTTGCAGCAGACGCATTAGCTGAAATAAACAAAAGATTTTTAACCTTAATTAGTGATCAATAAAATCCAAATAATGATAAATCCCATCTCAAGATATCTGGTACAACATTAATATCAAGTCATTGGACAGTAATATTAATTGCAAGTGATACATTGTTGCAATGATCAAATACTGACAATAACGCATGTCAAATAATGAAACTATCTTTGAATCGATTCATTATCCACATGTAAACCTTATAATCGTCACGTATTTATCATCACAGATGCGTATGCAATCTATAAATAAATAATAACCTTCCTTTGGGCCGATTAAATATTTACACGAAAACATACACACAAACATCTAACATCCCTCATGAACAATCTACACAAGAGATGTTACTTTGGCAACTTCTTGTTTCAATCGATCATTTAGAATGAAAGACAACTTTAATACCTTAGTGTCATATTATTTGAAATAACTAATTGATCCACTACCAAATTTAATTTAAATTAAATAATTTAATTTAAATCAACTGAATTTCTATAGCTTAATTAAGGGCCCATAATGAATTATGACCCACAAATAGGATTTAATTGATAAATTCAATTAATCCTTGTGCCCAAAATGAGCTTAAAGGAGCTTATACCCGATAATTAAACACAGGTCCAAAATCTTAATAAAATTCTCAAGTCAAGGCCAATGTTTAAACAAGTTCCAAAGATTAAACAAAGCCCAGATTATTTGGTCTGTGCTCTAACTTTAACGAGTTCTACAATATACTCGTTGTGAATGAATGAACGCAATGAACGAACGAACGCAATGTTTGTTTGAACGCAATGAACGAATGAACGCAATGTTCGTTTGAACGCAATGTTCGTTTGAGAACGAACGCAATGTTCATTTGAGAACGAACGCAATGTTCGTTTGAGAACGAATGCAGCGTCAACGAACGCAACGTTTGACGAACGCATGTTTCATTAGAGAACGAACATGGGTTCGTTTGAGAACGAACGCAAGGTTCGTTTGAAGCTTTCAAGCCTCGCCAAAAATTGAGGTAACCACCTTCTTAATTTTAGCACGTTTTCTCGCCAAAAATTGAGGTAACCACCTCCTTAATTTTTGCAAGCTTTCTCGCAAAAAATTGAGGTAACCACCTCCTTAATTTTAGCAAGTTTTCTCGCCAAAAATTGAGGTAACAACCTCCTTAATTTTAGCACGTTTTCACGTGCACGAACCCCTTGCGGGTTTAATCTGAAACCACCGCCGCTGAATCAACTCCGACGAGGAGTTTTGGAGATTGACGACAAATCAAAAAATCCCCCAAAAAAAAGATAATTTTTTTTGTCGATTTTTGAACTCAAATCATTTAGATCCAAACCTCAAAAATTGAATCAAACACAAAAGAAATGAACTTTAGAGTTCATAAATGCTACATATCCAAAAATCGAAAGAAAAACCAAACAAAATGAGAATTTTACTATTCATCCGAAAATAAAAATCTTTACTGTTCATCCGAAAATAAAAATCTTTACTGTTCATCCGAAAATAAAAATCTTTACTGTTCATCCGAAAATAAATTTTTTTTGTCCCGAAAATAAAAAAAATTTATTGTTCACCAAAAATAAAACGGTTACTGTTCATCCGAAAATAAGAAACTTTACTGTTCATCCGTGAACGGATCCGAATCAAACACAAATTAAGATCAAAGAACCCTAATTTTAATCTTAATCTCTTAGAACAAATCAATGGTGGCTCTGATACCACTTGTTAGATCTAATAAAAACTTGAGATCTAAACCATAAAGCCATGATTTAATTCAAATAGATTAACAAGAATCAAAAGGTGCGGAAGCATATACCTGAATCCATTGAAGAAAACTTGATTAGGGTTTTGATGATCTTCTAACCTTAGGGTTTCTCTCTTATGGATCTCTTTAGATGGGGATAAGAGAATGAGAGTGGTTAACCCTAGATTAGGGACCATAATCCCTTATATATAGGTGTTGTACATTTGTAATTTGACCCCTCATCAAATTACAATTACAACCTGGTATCTGCACATATAACCCCCATGATTTATTTAAATACATATTAACCCAAATTAATTGATCACTTTAGTGGGTTATCCTGAAAGATAGCAATACACATTGATTAATCATATGTGCCCACAAATAGATTTATTAGATTAAATCCAACAATCTCAGTAAGGGGAAAAAAAAAATCAAGACTAGACTTTAACCATGGAGGGGGAAAAATAATTGTGCACATTACATGCAGCAAGAGAGTGGGCTACTTTTTCTCTCCTCTCTTGTGAGTGAAGAGGAAGCGTTTCTGTGAAAAGATTGCAGCTTTCATATTGATGGTAAATATATCAATGTAGTTCCAATCGTTTTTAAAATTCAACTTCTCTTGTACGAGTAAAATAAAATAAATATGATTTTGTATTTCTACCTTATAAGAGCTGCGATATAAAACACAATTCAGTCCGAAATCTTTCAAAAGTACAAGCCCGACCCAATCCAGGCCCACAAAAATGAGTATACCCCTTTTAGCATCATGAACCCTTTATCACCGTACATACTTCGATCCAACGGCCATAAGAGATCTCAACCTAATCTCATCCTGCGCCACCTCGCGTGTTTCTCTCGTATAATAACCCCCATCTAGGGTTAGGGTTTAGTCATTCCTGTCTAGCCTCTCGTCGACGGCTGCTCTCACTCGAATCCGAGCTCAATGGTAATGAGATTTGATATCTCAGTCTCTCTCTCTCTTTTGTTTGATTCGTTCTTGAGAGTTGAAAGTTTAGTTCTTTTTTGTTTTTCAGGCATCGGAGAAGAAGCTCTCGAACCCGATGAAGGAGATCAAGGTGCAGAAGCTGGTGCTCAACATCTCGGTTGGAGAGAGCGGAGATCGACTCACGAGAGCCGCTAAGGTAACCGAAATGGTGATTTCTTGCTTAGTTCCAGGGTTTTTGTGTTGGTTAGGGTTTACGATTCCTGCGGTTTAGTTCCTCTAGGGCTCTCCTTGTGACATGAACCTCAATCTGTGAACTCAAGATCCTTGTTTCGATGCGCATTTTAATAATGCAATTGAATTTATTGTATAAAACTCATATTGTTGTTAATATTTGGTATATAGTTGCCTTCCAGTATTTGGTAGCGAGTCGCAACTTGTTGATATTGAGTTAGATCAATTCTATGGATTTGGTTAAAAATTGTTATGAGAGTATACTGAATTTCAATCAGTCTCACGATCATTACTGTATTGAAGATGATGATGAGTTATATACATAGCATGTCAACGGTCTTGTATCCTGGTGTTGTCATATGTTTATTATGTTGTCATATTTTTCTATATGAATTTTCTTTTACTTTCTATATTTTGAAGTGCATTGTTGTATCATGCTAGCATAACAACCATGATAATCTCATGGTAGCATATTTTGTGACTATTAATTTCACATTTTAGTAGAAAGCTTACATATGAAAAGGAAAGAGCACAAAATTAGTTGGAAATAGATGAATGATGGTAAACTGTCCAAATTCTAAATACTAATTTCATTACCATTTTATAGTTCACTATTAGTAATATTTATGTTTTCCTGTTGAGGTCATCTATGTGATTCTAATATTTTAGATCTAGCAATACAACTAGGTAATAGCTACTTCTATATGCATAAGCTTGCAAGAGCCCTTTCCTTTGAATAAAAGTAAAGTGGGAGTTTAGTGCGGCATCTATATGCATAAGCTCGAACAAAAAAGGTATAACAATATCTTTAATTCTTTATACCTTTATCCGTCTATAATAGTTAGAACCCCCCAGACTTCTGAAACTTTTTGGCTGATTCTAATACCAAGTTTTAGACTTCAATTCAGATAGTGGATGATTTTTTATTTTTTATTTGAAATTTTTTAAATAGTAGCTTAGACTCGTCCTTAAACCATTTACCGATTTGGATTATATGTTCTGTATAGTAGAGCAAAACAATGTCCTACATGGTAGAGCAAATCAATATTATGCATGATAGAGCAAAACCCTATGGTAAGTGATTAAGTGTAGCTGTCTTAAAAGGACACTTTTGTTGAGTTGAGAGGAGTGGTGGACACTAAGAAATATATTATTATTATTTTTTTAGTGGTACAAACACACTATACTCGCAAATACAATTACAAATATACTCTTTCTCTTTCTCTCTACTATTGGGATGCTTTACAAATTAAACTTAAGGGGGATATATATAAGTTTTTTTTACGGGATATGTATACACTATTAGAGTTAGATAATTACTGTAGCTAGCTAGGTGAAGATGTTAGGTGAGGTGGGGAGCTGTTGACTTCTAACACAACTCTGATACCAATTTGTATTTGAGAATATAGTGTGTTTGTACCACTAAAGAAATAATAATAATATATTTCTTAGTGTCCACCACTCTCAACTCAACAAGTGGTATCAAAACCTGAATTAGGGTGCGTGTGTCTGCTTATCATATGTTCTATGGTTGTCACCAAAGGTGAATCTTCCATATCAGAAAATAAGTTAGTTATCATTTAGTCATTTACTATTCATGAGTACAATACTATTCATGAATAGGATTACTATTCACGATATGAGTACTATTCATAAGTATGGTTACCAATCATGAATACTGTTATTGTTCATAAGTACGATTACTGTTTACGTAAAATAGTAGAAGTTGTAGCTCGTGATAGAAGTAAGGCGGTCAGTGAGCTGCTCTCTCCTACAGTGATCCTATCTGCATCCTTGAAGATCGAAGTTTGTGTTTAGTCTGGGACTGTGAAGTTGGTTGGTCAGAGATCAGACTTGCGTGGAGATATAGAAATATTATCACATCATGATGACAAATCTAGCAAGTACAACTACGATACTCAAGAAACTCAATGGCAATAACTACATCAACTGGGAGACCTGTATGAAGTCTTATTTATAAGGACAAGACCTCTGGGAGGTCATTGGGGGTTCTGAAACTACAATACATCGGGAGGCTGGTGAAGTACTAAGGAAGTGGAACATCAAAGCTGGCAAGACTATATATGTGTTGAAGACAATAATAGAAGATCTCATAGATTACATGTGAGATGACAGAACTTCAAAGGAGGCATGAGATATGCTTGCCACACTCTATTTGAAGAAGAACGATGCTCGATTTCAACTCCTGGAGAATCAATTGATGACATTGCAACAGAAAGATTTGACAATCAGTCAATACTTCAAGCAAGTATAATCACGCTATTCAGATATTGCTCAATTAGATCCAAATTTTAAAATATTCGATGCAAGGATGAGGAGAATAATCATCCACGGTTTGAGATCGAAAATTCGAAATATCACGAACTCATTGCTACACATAGGTGGCCGACTCAAACCAACATTATTGGAGTTGGAGAGTTTGCTCGCTACACTGGAAACCCTAGCCAAACAAATGGCCGATGTTTTAATAAAAAACAAAGATGAAGCACTCTTCAGCAACGAGGAGAGAGGCAAACTAAAAGATGCGAGGAAAGAGGAGTATGGAAAGACTTGTTTAAGGAGGCAGTCAGGACGGCCATACACCGACTGAGTAAGGTGATCGTCGAGCAAGGAGACCTGACAGTAGTTGTTACAACTGTGGGAATAAATGATACTTTGTCAGAAATTATAGCTACAAGAGAAGACTTGCAAAGAGTAATGCTGCAACATCGCGCAGATGTCAAGATGATGAAGAGTGGGCTGTCTAAGCATCCGTGGTCATCATTGAAGATGCACCAGTCGACAAAGGCAAGGTTTTTTGGTATGACACTTTGATTGTAGAAGAATTCGAGTCCGCATTTGTAGCGGTTTCAAATCGAGAAGAAATCAGCTACCAATCACATGACGGGAGATAAGTGAAAACTTGTCAACATGAAGGAGTATAGAGGTGACCGAGAAGTTGTGATAGCGAATAATTCAAGATTACCTACACATTGTAAAGACTGCATTTATGCCGCGCTACAACCCTAATCGGATACAACTACAAGATGTATACTATGTACCGGATATGAAAAAGAACCTTCTATCTGTTTTTCAATTTACAACTTTTGGAATTTATGTAGTTTTTGGGCCATAAGATGTAAAAATCTATCGAAACTTGAAGCCACCAGGATAACCTATCATGGAGGGATGGAAGGTAGAATCTATCTATGTGATGTCAGCAGAATCGACATATATAGACAAGGCTAAGAAAAATGAGACGCCTGATTTGTGGCATGCTCGGCTTGGCCGTGTGAGCTATCACAAGCTCAAGATCATGATGGAGAAGTCAATATTGAAGGGTCTTTCACACTTGGATATTCAAGGAGGGACTGTATGTGGAGGTTGTCAATACGGTAAAGCACATCAATTATAGTATCAGGAGTCACAGTTCAACGACAAGGAACATTTGGAGCTTGTACACTCTGATTTATTTGATCGAGTAAAGCAAGAATCAATCGGTGGGATGCGGTATATGATCACTTTTATTGACGATTACTCGAGGTATGTCTGGGTTGATTTTATGAAGGAAAAGTCTAAAGCGCTTTTAAATTCAAGCAAGTTCGAGAAGAAGTCGAAGGAGAATTCGGCAAGAAGATTCATTGCTTACGCACAGACAACAGGGGAGAGTACACGTCAAAGGAGTTTTACGACTACCTAATGCAGCACAAGATTCGGTGACAGCTGACGTGCCTAAGTACTCCACAGCAGAATGACATAGCTGAAAGAAAGAATCGTCACCTTGTTGAAATTTGCAGAAGCATACTTCACGTTAGGAACGTGCCAAGACGTTTTTGGGCCGAGTGTATGAAGACTGGCGCATGTGATCAATCGACTACCACAGCCGAAGTTGGAGTTCATGTCACCCTTTCAGAAGTTGTGGAATAACAACCCAACCATAAGCTATTTTAGAGTCTTCGGTTGTGTATGTTATATCTTTGTGCCTGATCACTTACGCAACAAGTTCGATAAAAAACTATAAGGTGTATTTTTATGGGGTATGACAGTGAAAGAAAAAGATGGAGAAGCTGTGATCCCACAACCGGACGATGTTATACATCAAGGAATGTTGTATTTGACGAAGCCTCATCTTGATAGGCTTCACAAGAAGTTGCACTCCCAGGTCAAGAAGGACTACGTCAATCAGAGAAGACAAAATCAAGCTCTTCAACATCCTCAAAGGAGAATAATCCATGGACAACTGATGTTTATTATTAGACAACGTCAGAAGAAGAGCGCCCAAGATAGATAGAGAATATCAAAGAAGAACCAACTAAACAACTTTGAAGATCAACCAGACCCAGGAAGCCGAATCCTAAGTATGCTAATGTGGCCATTATGAAAGATGTGAAGGAGCCATCTATCTTCAAAGAAGTATACAAGAGTGAAGAATGGAGACAAGCAGTGAGAGAGGAAATCCAAGCATTGAAAAGGAAGTTAGAATTCTTAGACTTGTGGATAGAGAAGTCGCTGTTGAGGTGGAGTGTTAGAAGTTAACAGCTCCCCACCCTACCTAACCTCTCAACCTACCTAGCTACAGTAATCACCTAACTCTAATAGTGTATGCCTACCCTATAAGAAAGCCTATATGTACCCCCCTAAATTTAATTTATAAGACATCCCAGTAGCAGAGAGAAAGAGAAAGATAGAGAGAGTATTTGTATTTGAGAGTATGTTGTGTTTGTACCACTAAAGGAATAATAACAATATATTTCTTAGAGTCCACCACTCCTCTCAACTCAACAACATTTGATTGTGGTATGGAAAATACATTTAAAATTGATGTGGGTATGAGTGCTGTTGTTGGAGAGTTTTTCTGGTTGTAAATTTGGTGATCGATGACATCAATGCTTAAGGTTATCATGTATTTTCTCATGTAAGGTTGGAAAACTGCTTGTGTTTATGTAGAATGTTGCATCTGCAGTGTTGGTAACAAATGTTCATAATCCGATTCTCTGTAGAGAAGTTAAGTCTTTTCTGTTCATAGGTTTTGATAGGCATGCATAATCAATGTAATCATGCTACTTATGGTTATTTTTTGTGAATATTATCACTATTAATTGTCCTTATTCTAAATGTGATCTATCTTGCAATATTTAACGAGTTTAGTCACCTATGCAATTACTGATGGTTTGGCTTTTATTATGATGATAATTAATATTATGTGCTTGAAGGTCCTTGAGCAATTGAGTGGGCAGAGTCCTGTGTTTTCAAAAGGTAAGTTATTATTGTTATTTTATTTTGTTCATCACGCTGATGTATTTGGCATATTTATCCTAACATGTTCTTTCTGCTCCCTCTAGCTAGGTATACTGTTCGATCTTTTGGTATCCGACGTAATGAGAAGATTGCATGTTACGTCACAGTCCGAGGTGACAAGGCAATGCAACTCTTGGAAAGCGGTTTGAAGGTGAAGGAGTATGAGTTGCTGAGGAGGAATTTCAGTGAAACCGGATGCTTTGGTTTTGGTATCCAGGAACACATTGATCTTGGAATCAAGTAAGATTTTCTAGACCCACCAGCCACTTTTATATCCTTAACTATACTCAATAACACATGAAGAAAACATCTTTTGGCTGCGCAAGTTCCATTATTCAACTTCAGATTTGGTTTATGTTACTTATTATGGAAGCAACAGGGTTGTGATGAATAATGCTTTTTCTGACACCTCTTGTATGAGAAGGGCTCTTTACAAAGCCCTTCATTGAGCAGAGGAGCAAGTGTCTGAACCCTATTTCATTTATCCTTTCTTTTCTAATGATGAATATTTTAATGGCAAATAAATTTATGCCCTTTGGCAAGGAATAGTGCTACATGCACCTGATGACATTATTTTTCTTTGTATGCTTTGATTTTTGTTATGCTTAACCTGTCCAATGGGGCACAAAAATCGCCCTCTGTTTATTGTCCTAGATCTTTCTCAAATTATGCTGTTATGTTGTGGTGCATAGCAAATGTCCAAGTTCAGTTCATTTAGGCTTGAAACTATGCATTTTGCCTTGTATTGTTGGGACTTCGTTTTCCTTTCGTTATGGAAGCTGTGATGAGCATTGCTATCTTCTGACACCTCTTGTATCAGAATGGCTTTCATGAAGTTCTTCCATGAGCGGATTAGCAACTATCTGGGCTCTCAACCTTTCAAAATGATGCACATAAACTTCTTTATTATGTCTTATTGCTATCTTCTGACACCTCTTGTATCAGAATGGCTTTCATGAAGTTCTTCCATGAGCGGATTAGCAACTATCTGGGCTCTCAACCTTTCAAAATGAGGCACATAAACTTCTTTATTATGTCTTTGATTTGTTAATTATGTGGTTATAAGCCATGCCTTCTACAATAAACCATATATGAAGAAACTAAAAGCTCCCAACACATGTCCTGGCACACATTTTAAAGTCGGTAATTGCATTAATCCAACATTCTTGGATTTATATTAGCTCTGCATACAGATATGTACTTATTGCACTGAAACTGTATTCTCATTTGGTACCATATTTTATCTTAGTGTTTAAGAAAGTTCAAACTTTATTATCGTTTGATCTCACAGTTCCCTTTGTTAGGTATGACCCTTCAACAGGAATCTATGGTATGGACTTCTATGTCGTGTTGGAACGCCCAGGTTACCGTGTTGGCCGCCGCCGCCGCTGCAAGTCCCGAGTTGGGATTCAGCACCGAGTTACGAAGGATGATGCCATGAAATGGTTCCAGGTTAAGTATGAGGGAGTCATCCTCAACAAATCTCAGAATATCACCGGCTAGAAAAACATAAATTCACTTGATTGCTGGCCCCAAGCGTTTTGTTAGAGAACAAGTTAGTTACTATTATCTTTAGAAACTGTAGAATGGGTTTTGTTTGTGATACAATTGCTTTAGTGAAAAGACCTTGCAGATCTTCGTTGACATTGTTTTATCATGCTACTTGAGATTCATAACCTGATGATACTGTTTTCGTTGCCTTTTCATCATGCAAAAATGATAAAAGTTACGCAAGTCACCAACATCTTAACAATAGAATGCAGAGCGGGTCGGTTTGGTTTGTGCATCTATTGTTGTTACGTGTAGGCAAAGCTTTCTTAGTTATGTTTTAAAATTATGGAGGTTGAAAGTTAAGTGTTAATTTGTTTTTTTCTTTTTACCTTGGTAAAGGAGGCATTTAAACTCCATGGATTATTGGATTAATCACATAGCGGTGTTGTAGTTATAAGGTGGCTCTAATGTCTGCACACACACACATATATATAGATTTTATGTGTGTGTATAAATCAGATTTTTGATTGTGTCTGTGTGTGCGCGTGTGTATATATACACACGTGCGTGCACACATATACTTATCTGTGTGTATGTAACTATGAGATCTTTGATTGCGAGTGATCTCGAAATCTATGTAGAGAACGTAATGAGTTAAGAAATGGGATATGTGGGTTATTATGAGATCTTTGATTGCGTACGAGTGATCTCAGAAATCTATCTGTTTGGTAGAGAAGGTAATGAGGTAAGAAATGAGACGGAAATACTGTGGAAATTGCATGTTCATTTTGAGAATAAATTTAGAATGACAATCTTTTTTACGTTTATTAGGGCCAAATAAGCAAACAACGCATATTTGGAAAGTATTTTAATTTTATCAAATTCTGGCTTTCAAAAATATGTTTTATTGTGTGTAATAAACTGAGAAATGAGAAGCATTCTATTACTGGCTGACAGCTATCAAGGGCCCCATGCCAGCAAAAGGTGACGGTGTTAACTTGCAGAAAGAAAATAATGGTGTTGACTTGTTATAATCTAGGATTATCTGTGTAATTACAATAAGTTACATTGAAGTTAAATCATGTACACAAACTTTCGAATGGAAAGTAATTTAGGCTAATTTGATAGTTAATGCAGCCGCGTCGTCTCCGACCCAAAAAGTTTCCACATTAACTATCCTGAGATAGTTACGTTCCTCTTCTAGAAACTGCTTTAGAAACGGTCCACTTGTATTTTGTCCTCTCTTAAATGAACACAAGTGGTCGGACGGTCATACATACTATTCCTCTCCCTTGAATTAAGTAACAAGGTGGCCTAAGCAATGACGCAACTCTGTGTTACCATTCTCCTCCCTTTTGCCCTTGTTTTATCTGTTATTTATATCTATCTCTTTTCAACGACGACAATTGGCGGTTTTAGTCATCTACCTCTTCTTCTTCTCTCTCCAGCTACTTCATTCAGAGTTCACCATGGTCAACAACAACAACCCCCTCAAGATCCTCTTCTTCCCCTTCATGGCCCCCGGCCACATGCTCCCCATGCTCGACATGGCCGCTGTCTTCGTCGAAGCCACCATCCTCACGACCCCCGGCAATGCCTCCCCTTCGCCGCCGCCGGTTGTCGTCAACCTCCTCACCGTCTCCTTCCCCTCCGGTCCCCGACCTCCCAGGTGCCAAAACCTCGCCGCGGCCACGTACCCCGGCGATGCGGCTCGCATTTCATAGCCGCCCTCCGCGAGCCCTTCGACCTAGTCCTCGCCGACCTCTCCCCCGACTGCGTCGTCACCGACATGTTCCTCCCGTGGACCGTCGACGTTGCCGCCGAGCGTGGAATTCCCAGGCTCTCCTTCCAAGGGACGAGTGCCTTCGCCAACTGCGCCTTTGACGTTCTTGGAAAGCTCAAGCCCCTCCAAACACTCCCGCCGGAGGCGGAGGACTTCGTCCTTACCGGTCTCCCTCACAAAATCAAGCTGCTCAAGTCCCAAATCGACTCGTCATCTGACACCGATCCTAAAAGGGCCAGTATGTTTGCCTCGATTAAGGACGCCGAGCATAAGAGTTACGGCTTAATGCTCAACAGCTTCTATGAGCTCGAGCCCGAGTACATCGACCACTATCGGAACGTCATCGGCCGAAAGGCCTGGCATATCGGTCCCTTATCGCTATGCAACAGCAGAAACACGGATGTGACAGACACAACATGCACAGATTGGCTCAATAGCAAGAGCCCGGGCTCGGTCGTGTACGTATGTTTCGGGTCGATGGCTGATATCTCGGATCCTCAGGTTCTTCAGCTGGCATTGGGCCTCGAGGCGATGAATAGACCCTTCATATGGGTGATGAAGGGTCACAGCTACGAAAAGTTACCTCCAGGGTACACAAACAGGAACACAGACCGCGGTCTGGTCATAAAAGGATGGGCACCGCAGGTGTTGATATTGAATCACAAGTCGGTAGGTTGTTTTGTGACGCATTGTGGATGGAATTCGAGCCTGGAGGCGATTAGTGCTGGGAAACTGATGGTGACGTGGCCGATGTTTGCAGAGCAGTTTTTGAATGAGAGGTTGATCATTGACGTGTTGGGGATCGGGGTGGGGGTAGGGGTGAAGGTGAATGGCAAGACGGCAGAGGAGAGGGAGGTAATTGA